TTATCCATTTTGCCTTTAAATATCACTCAGAGGCTTAGCGAATGAATTTGAGGGTGGATACTAAAGCAAGATAGTTAGGCTCAATAGTAGTACAAGTGAAAGATCATATTGGTCTAAACTAGGACACCATTAATGGGTAGAGAGTACAGGATATATTCCAAAGGAATTAGGTATGTAAGTTGACAGAATTTGATATGGTTGTTTGGTGGGAGGTTTGTATGGGGAGGTGGGTGGGTGGGTGGTGAGAAAATATTTCTTCTTTTTCTCCATTAACACTAAGTTGTTAAAGCCTTGAAGCTGAGATGTCATACTGCAAGAATCATGCTGAAATGGGGGTTTGTGGAGTGTGTGTTTAGATGAGAGACAAAGATACAAGGTAGGCAAGGGTTCTGTTAAGAAAGAAGTTTAAATGATTGGGTTCCCTATTGGGCAGAAAGGGAAATGAGATCACGACTGCATAAAGAAAAGGGAATAGTCAAGAGACTGGAGGTACCCAGGAAATTAAAGAGCAGGTGTGGGAATGAGGGAGTGAGCTGGAAGGACCACAGCTTGTGATGTTAGAGTGGGATTTAGATTTCATGGAAGCAGCAGTTTGAGGTGACAGTTCCAAATGTGGCCATGATATTTTGTTCCTGGAGAGATGAACCTCATTGAATTTAGGATTGTAGGAACTGAAAATTGACAACAGTGTTTCTCACATTGTATATGATTGATTACCTGCATCAGTGTCACCTGGAGTGAGATTCCTGGGTTTATGTCTACTATGGCCTAGAATCTCTAGGAATGAGAACCTGAGAATGTGTATTTTTAACAAGCAACTTCAGTGATTCTGATGAATAGACATTGGGGCAAGTTTGGGAACCTCTGAGATAGACGTTGGATGGTTCACTCTCAAGGATATTTAAGTAGGCTCATAGTGATGTCAGGAGTTAAGGTGAAGAGAATGATCAGTAGTGAAAAGATGAAGTCAATGTAAAGGTTGAGCGAGAACAGCTGTAGGGCATTGTGGAGTATGTTGTGGCCAATGGTAGAGATTATAAAGAATAAGGAATGATACTAGAACAGTAGAATGTCCCCTCTGTCTTGGAGATAGGAAGTGTATGGGTGTGTAGTTTCTGGTTTGAGTAGGCTGCAGGAGGGAAATGAATGAGGTCTTCTGTGACACCATTGAAGTAGTAGGAACCTAGAGGATAAAATGAAAAGGTTGGGAGAAAAGTCAGAACAGGGGTCCATATCATCTAAAGTCAGAGTAAAACAAAAAGCCAGGTGACTTAGAAACCTTGTTTAGTCTGTTATTGTTGAAAGCTCTCTGATTTTGAAACATTATTCTGTTAAACATTTGGTGGGATAAGTCAGCTTGTATTTAGAGGCCACATATGGCATTGAAAATATTTATCTTTAAACACTAGACTCTTGGATACCTTAGGGAGAAAGATGCCTATGCTGTCAGGGGCACATGGAACTGAAAGAAGATTCAAGTCTCTCCTATCTTGTCTTTACCGTGAGGTCTGTCATCTCTTTAGTTATTATGGGTGCTTGATTCCAAGTAAGTTCTGTGTAATATGATGTGCCTCCTGGAGTGGGCATAGCAAAGTAGGAGGAGGAAATAATGAGAAGAAAGAAGATTAATGACTGAATGGTATTTTGGATGGTGCTTGATAAAATATAAGTAACATAAAATTTACCATTTTAATCACTTTTAAGTGTACAATTCATTGTGATTAATTTTATTTACAATGTTGTGCAGCCATCACCACCATAGATTATTAAATAAGAAATGTCCAATTTTGAATCAAAATTTAGTTTATTATATCTCAAACAGAAGCAGTACAGTTAATCAAAGTATGTGCCTAAACTATTGACACAGTTTTGCCATCTTAATGGTAGCTTGTGTATGTCAGCAGCCAGAAGCCTGGAGAGCAAGTGACTATGAAATCACGAAAGGCATTTTCCACAGTTGTTGAGAATTGAATATTTTTCCTTTCAAGAAGTGGTCCAACACCTGGAGGAAGTGGTGGTCATTGGTGCAAGGTCTGGTGAATATGGCAGATGACAGAGAGTTTCCAAGTCCAGCCTCTGTAGTTTGAGCAGTGTTGTTTGTGCGACATGTGGTCGAATGTTGTCTTGCAAGAGGATTGGTGTGTCTCTGTTGACCAGTCTTGGCAGCCTAATCACAAGCGTCCTCATCATTTCATCCAATTGGTTGCAGTAGACATATGCTGTAATCAATTGACCAGGTTTCATGAAACTGTAGTGGAGAATACCAGCGCTGGACCACCAGACACCATTAGTTTTTTTTGATGACTGTTGGGTTTTGGACTGTGTTTCCGCACTTCATCTTTATCCAACCATTGTGCCGAAAGCTTGTGACTGTCAAAAAGAATCCATTTCTCATCACACTTAACAATGTGGTGTAGAAATGGTTCGCCTTTAGGTCTTGACAGCAAACAAAGGCAAACTTTGAGACAATTTCTCTTCTGATACTCATTTAATTCATGTGATATATCCATCTATCCAGCTTGTTTACCTTGCTCATTTGTTTCCAGTGGTCCAATATTATTGGAATAGTAACGTCAAACCTTGCTAATTCACGTATAGGTTGAGATGATTCACTTCCACTACAGCTTTCAGCTCGTTATCCACCTGATCTCAGGTCACCCAAGTGACTATTTTTAAGATTCAAATCACCATAATGGAACTTCTCAAACCATCTATGTATTGTGTGTTAATTAGCCACATGCTTTCCAAAGAGTTGATATTTTGAGCTGTCCGCGTAGCATTGGTTCCACAACAGAACTCATGTTTGAAAATAACACGAATTTTTGACTTATCTGTGATTTCACAAAAATCAAAAAAAAATTTTGAAAGATGATCACAAGGCAAACCATGCATTTGAAAGAATGAGGATGTATCTTCATGATAAAAATAAAACAAGAAATGGTAAAGTGAAATGTCAGAAATATCAACTGTCAAACTTAGTATTTTAGGAAATTGGACATTTCATACTTAATAACCTAATATTTCCACAACTTTTTCATCATTAGAAACTCTGTACCCGTTAGGCAATAACACCCCATTCTCTTTTCCCAGCCCCTGATAACCTTTCATACTTTATGTTTCTATGAATTTACCTATTCTTGATATTTCATCTAAGTGGAATTATATGACACTTGTCTCTTTGTGTCTGGCTTCTTTCATTTAGTATAAGGTTTTCATGGTTCATCCATGTTGTAGCACATAATAGAACTCATTCCTTGTTATTTCTGAATAGTATGCTGTTGTATTTGTATACATTTTGTTTATCCATTCATTTGTTGACTTGTGTCCACCTTTTGACTAATATTTCAGCAGTGAACATTGGTGTTTGAGTATCGTTTTGAGTCCCTGTTTTCAATTCTATTAGTATATACGTAGGAGTGGAGTTGCTATGTAGTATTTATATGTTTAACTTTTTTGGGAACCACCAAATTGTTAACCATAGCAGCTACACTATTTTACATCCCCACCAGCAGTGTTTGAGGGCCCAAATTCTCTGCATCCTTCCAACACTTTTTCTCTTTTTTAAAAAAATTATAGCCCTCCTAATAGATATATCTTTAGCACAGCATCTTTTTGTGTGTTTATTGGCCAATTATATATCTTCTTTGGAGAAATGTTTATTCAAGTTCTTTGCTCACTTTTTAATTGGGTTGTCTTGTTGAGTTGTAGGAGTTCTTTGTATGTGCTGGATATTAAACCCTTATCAAATATATGATTTGCACACATTTTCTCCCATTCTGTAGGTTGTCTTTTTAACCTTTTTGAAAATTTGTTTTGTTATACAAAAGTTATTTTTATAAAGTCCAGTTATCCATTTGTTTTGTTTCTTGTGCTTTTGATGTCATATCTAGGAATCTATTGCCAAATCCAAGGTCATGAAGATTTGCCCCTGTGTGTTTTCTAAAAGTTTTAAGGTTTTGCTTCTTACATTTAGGTCATTGATCTATTTTGAGTTAACTTTTTTTATATGTGGTGTAAGGTAGAAGTCTGACTTCTTTCTTTTACATGTGGAAATCCAGCTATCCCAGCATTTGTTGGAGACTGATCTTTCCCCATTTAATGGACTTGACACCCTTTTAAAACTCAGTTGGCTCTAGATATATGGATTTATTTCTGGAGTCTCAATTCTATACCGTTGGTATATTTGTCTGTCATAATGCCATTACCACACTGTCTTGATTACTGTAGATTTTTAGTAAGTTTTGACATTGGGAAGTGTTGAGCTCTTCAACTTTTTTCTTCTTTTTCAATAGTGTTTGAGTTATTTGGGGCCCTTTGCAATTCCATAAGAATTTGAGGATTGGTCTTTCTGCAAAAAAGGTTGTTGGAATTTTGATAGGAATTATATTGAATCTGTAGATCACTTTGGGTGTTATTGTCATCTTAACATGTTAAGTCTTCCAATCCATGAACACCAGTTGTCTTTCTATTTACTTAGCTCTCCTTTAGTTTCTTTCAGTAATGTTTTATAGTTTCAATGTTACAAGTCTTTCACCTCCTTGGTTAAGTTGATTCCCTGCTGTTTTATTCCTTTAGATATGATTATAAATGGAATTGCTTTCTTGATTTCCTTTTTGGATTGTTAACTCTTAGTGTATCAAAACACAGCTGATTTTTTTGTGTGTGTTGAATTTATAACCTGCAAATTTGCTGAATTTGTTTATTATTAATAGCTTTTTTGGGAATTCTTTGGGATTTTCTATATAGGGAGAATAGAAATAGTTTTACTTCTTCCTTTCCAATTTGTATGCCTTTTATTTCTTTTTCCAATCTAATCGCTCTGTTAGAATTTACAGTAGTATTGAATAGCAGTGGTGAAAGCAGACATCTTTGTCTTGATTTTTTGTCACTTCTAAGATAAAATTTGCCACTGAATTTTGTTAAAGGATTGTACATAATTGACTAATTCGGTTGATCTTAGTCTGTAAAGAAGTTGATGTTGGAATTTTTTTCTTTTGCAGCAACAAGAATGAACCAGCAGTGGAAGAGATAATACTGCAAGCTGGCTGGCTGCTGGTGAAGAAGATGCTTTATTTTTGTGGCAGGCATATGTGGGATCTGTAATAGAAATGTAAGTGTAGCACTATGGTTTTTCCAAAGCTGCAGTAAATTAAGTGGATTGGTATAAAATATAATAAATCAAGTATCTGTCATATTTAGTTTATTTATACACAATAAGCATTTTCTATTGACTTATAGATACTTTATTCAGTTAACAATTTCATTCATGTTAAATTATCGTTAATGTAGATTTCCAAGAGTCGTCTTGAAGGGAAAAATCTCTATAAGAAGTGAAACTGAAGACAGGAATTTGCTTATACAAAGCTAAAAAACTGGCACGATCTTTAGGTCCTCTAGATTCTACCTTTTCTTTACATAGTAATTTACTTAAATAACCAAGCTAGGCAGATAGTGTATCAGCTTTTAGAAATAAGAGAGACTTCTGGGTTATAAAAACACTAGTTACTAAAAACTTGTTTTCACTAAATTAAAGGACTTTCTTTATACCATAATTGAATTTTAAAAATTTAGTATGTTACTGCTTTTTATTCATAATTGATTCTCTGTTATCCTCAGTTTTACTACTTGTGCTTTTTATCATTTAGTCTTTGTGTAATATGCTTTAAACGATTACACTGCCTTGAACTCGTCCATATTGAACTTCATTGTATTATTGATGCAACATTTTCCCACAGTGAACATCATATTTCTATTTTGCAAATTAATTTGAACACTATGCAATTTGATGTCACTTATGAGAAATGCAGTGAATATTTTACTGACTTCTAAAGTTTCAGTGATTATAGTGTTTAAATTATTGGACCAAAGAATGACCCTGATAGATACTATTTTACATTTTCCCAGTTAGACATAAAAGTTTTACTATCTACTTTTCCAATATGACACTCTGATTATATACTCTCATTAAAAGTATGACTGTATCATTCTTATTCAGTGTTGAGAATTTGATTAAAAAAAAAAGGTAACAGTAAGGATTTTTCTTTAAAATTGGGACAAATACATAATATCTTTTATTCAATCCCATGCATTTATTTATCTACATTTTTTTAAGTCTTATAGGTCAGATAGTCTAGGAGCTAGTAAGTGAGACACGTACGTAATTAACAAACAGCAGGACAGATACACTATTGATGTAACAATAAAATGCTGTTGGAACTGAGAGGAGGAAGAGATTAATTCCATCTGATGGAATGAAGTGAACAGAAGAACTTTTACGTTGGCCTCAAAAAATGAGTAGAATTTTAACAACTGAAGAAAACTCGGAAATATTTTTCAAGCCAAGGGAATGAGCGGGGGAAGGTTATGGCTTGCCTACACATCAAGGCATTTTACAAAAGCCAGGGAATAATCCTATGTGGGAAAGTAGGGTAGGAGAAAGACACTTCAAATTAAGTAAAGGGAATGAACGTTTATTTAGTACTTGTGATATTATGACAACCAGTAAGGCTTACTGGTTGTTCTACTTGGATTTTTGAATTTAATCACAAAATAAAATCACAAAATCAAATTTTATGTCAGTGTTTAAGCTTGATACATCCAATTTGACATATCTTGTCTTTTTTTCTCCCTCCTCTTCAAGGGCAATTTTGATATTCATGTCATTTTGTCCCTTGATCTTATGTGATGGTAACATTTATGGAGCTTTAGCAATTACAAAACATTTTTTTGCCATTCTTACCTGAACTCTGTAAACTCTGATTTGCAGGTAAAGAAATTTAGACTAAGGGTTTAATGGAGTGCATAAGAGCACGTAATTAATAAGAGGGCCCAAAACTCAGGTTTTCAGATTTCTTGTCTAACATTAGTTTCACTGTATAACAGCTGCAGTAAGGCAAGTTACCTTTTTTCCCTTGGCTCGCTGCAGCTTTTCATTATGTAATTCTTCAGTGTGCTTCTACGGGGCCAATCTGTAAGTGCACTGACAGAATTTTCTTTACATCCCCAAGGTATGTACAAGTATATGCTTAATAAAAAGTTTTTATCAGCCAGATGGTCTAATTTCAAATTATTTAAAATGAAATAAAACCCAAATATATATTATGTAATACCATGATGTATTGATGTTATTGTCTGGGAAAACACGTTCATTTTCTTAGCAAATAGTGTTCTCTATCTGCCAGATCCTGTATGAAAATACAGAGATAAGCCAAAAGTGACCTGTTCCCTGCCTTTGTAAAAGCACATTAGCAAAGATTGACATTAACAAAATAATCACATAAATAAGTGTAACATTGCAATTCTGATAAGGAATGAGGAGCACATGATAGTTAATAGCGTGATTTGATGTAGTCATGGTAGTAGTTTGCCCATTGGGGGGCATGTGGAAGGCAGGAGGTAAGGAGGAAGTGTAACATAGAGAAAAGCTATTACTGGAGGGGGTAGCCAGTGTGGCTAGAAGCCTGATCAAGGGGAAGTTTGATGTGTGATGAGGCTGGCGTGGGAGGTAGGGTCCAGACTGTGCAGGGTGTATAGATCCTCTTAGAGATTTTGGTTTTTATCCTAAAATCAACTTTTTAAGCAAGGGGTGTGGCTGACTAGTTAAAGGGCATAAGTAGTAATTAAATAAGCAATGTTTGCTTAGTGGCTAGGGAAGGGTAGAGATGGATAGATGGATTCAGGAGATATTTAGGAGATAAAATTGATACTACTTGCTGATGTTTTGGATGGGGAGAGGTAGGAGAATGGCTATTTCCAGGCTGGATTTCTGGATTGTATAAGCAGAAGGATAGTGGTGTCACAGGGTCAGAGCTGGGTAGGTGGGAGGGTTAGGGAGCAACTAAGAAGGAAGCATATCATGAATTCAGTTTTTGTCATGTTCAAGACATCCTAGAAAAGATTTAAAATAGGCAATTTAGAAATAGGTCCATGGCTGAAAAGAGAGGTCTGGGCTAGTTATACTAATTTGTGAGTCACCTGTTATATAGGTAATAATTGAAGCCATGAGAATAGATGAGATCATGTTGAAAGAGTATAGCGAGAAGAGAATATGGTTTAGAAAAATAAAAAAAGGCAACAGTAACAAAAAAGCCATAGAAGAGAGTTTTTTTACATAGAGGAAATGGTCAAGTATGACAGAAATGCCTGGTTGAACCAGTATTTTTAGTATACAGCAGAGATGGGGAACTTCTAGGATTTCAGCTTTAGTCTTAATTTCAGATGTTCTACTTGTCAAATACCAAAAGCGTATTAATATATGGTAATATTTCTAAAATTACCATAGTAATATCCTAAAAGGCTGTAAAAGTTGTTGCCTTCTGTAATTATAATCTGAATTATTTTTAGCTGTTTTCTATTGCTCAAACTGCTTTCCAGACTGATTGTAAAGTCAGTCTAGAATGGATTGTACATTTTTAAATCTTCGTATTTAGTTTTGTCCTACAAATTCTATGAGTAGAGATGGTATCTTTATTTAAAATCTATACCTTGGGTTTTTTTTGTTTTTGTTTTTTTTGCTTAACATTTGTGTGCTTCATTGCCCCCTGCAAGTAAAAACTGATGACACACAAACACAGATCAAAAAGATTTCTACACACACACACAGTTTTTGTCTCTACTTTTATCTTTTGCTCCCCATTGTCTAGGGTGTGGCTTGCATTTAAAGCATATATGTTTTCTGAATTATTTAATAAGATAGTGAAAGGATTAAAACATGATTTTAATATGACATGTATTTTTTCTTATTTTCTTAGGATGGCTGGCTGTGGTGAAATTGATCACTCAATAAACATGCTTCCTACGAACAGGAAAGCAAATGAGTCTTGTTCTAATACTACACCTTCTCTAACCGTCCCTGAATGTGCCATTTGTCTGCAAACATGTGTTCACCCAGTCAGTCTGCCCTGTAAGCATGTTTTCTGCTATCTGTGTGTAAAGGGAGCTTCCTGGCTTGGAAAGCGGTGTGCCCTTTGTCGACAAGAAATTCCCGAGGATTTTCTTGACAAGCCAACCTTGCTGTCACCAGAAGAACTCAAGGCAGCAAGTAGAGGAAATGGTGAATATGCATGGTATTATGAAGGAAGAAATGGGTGGTGGCAGTATGATGAGCGCACTAGTAGAGAGCTGGAAGATGCTTTTTCCAAAGGTAAAAAGAACACTGAAATGTTAATTGCTGGGTTTCTATATGTTGCTGATCTTGAAAATATGGTTCAATATAGGAGAAATGAACATGGACGTCGCAGGAAGATTAAGCGAGATATAATAGATATACCAAAGAAGGGAGTAGCTGGACTTAGGCTAGACTGTGATGCTAATACTGTAAACCTAGCAAGAGAGAGCTCTGCTGATGGAGCGGACAGTGTATCAGCACAGAGTGGAGCTTCTGTTCAGCCTCTAGTGTCTTCTTCTGTAAGGCCTCTAACGTCAGTAGATGGTCAGTTAACAAGCCCTGCAACCCCATCCCCTGATGCAAGCACTTCTCTGGAAGACTCTTTTGCTCATTTACAACTCAGTGGAGACAACATAGCTGAAAGGAGTCATAGGGGGGAAGGAGAAGAAGATCATGAATCACCATCTTCAGGCAGGGTACCGGCACCAGACACCTCCATTGAAGAAACCGAATCAGATGCCAGTAGTGATAGTGAGGATGTATCTGCGGTTGTTGCACAGCACTCCTTGACCCAACAGAGACTTCTGATTCCTAATGCAAATCAGACAGTACCTGATCGATCAGATCGATCAGGAACTGATCGATCAGTAGCAGGGGGTGGGACAGTCAGTGTCAGATCTAGAAGGCCTGATGGACAGTGTACAGTAACTGAAGTTTAAATAAAGTCTTTAACTCCATGCTTAATGTTGAAAGGGTTATCTGTAAATTTCTGCCCACATAACATTATACTCATCCCTAGTAGTGCATTTTGGGAATTGGGGTGGGAAAGGGGTATGGGAAGGATAGACTTATAATTAAAATGTCTAACATGTCTCTGTTGAGAGAAATTTATTTAATGTAAGGAATTTGTGTGTT